ACTGAGCAGAGTGTTTCCTGACCTTTACCCTGAAATGTGGTAAAGTTTGTGCTAAGGACATTTCAGATCATGTCTCTGTTCTTGTCCTTAGCAGACAAGACTTGTCTGCTCTTCCCAAAATGCAAACCTACTTCTGTACTTCCAGGTATATTTGCTTCATTTTGCTTTACTCCTCCTTGAAAATAAATCCCCTTAAATTTCTTTGTGAGGCAAAACACTGAGGAAGCCCAGCTGCTTTGTCAGCCGTGAGCCAGGGAAGCCTTTGATTCTCAGAATTAAGGATAATCTGATTTCTTTTGCTACACACTCAAGAAGCTTTGGGTTCACAAAGAAAATCTAGAAAGAAAGAAAGGAAGCAAACAAGCAAGCTTTCAAGTGTGGGAAGTTTCTGGTGAAGTAAACATTTGGCTCCTTCAGGCTAGATGTAAAGGAGATAAAGAAAGTTAGGGAATCAGAAACATACCTCAGTCCTCTAAGTAGGCAGCCACGGATCTGGACTAGAATGGAAAGCAAATGAGTTTCAGATAGAAGCCTGTGTAACATAATTCCTCTTGCACACCAGCCAGTGTCCATTAGGTTTAGCTTAATATTATCTGAGACTTTTTATTTTTAGAGATTTCATTGATACTAATTTCCTGATACTTTTAAATAAAAATGAAATCTTTAGACATGCCAGCAAAAGGGTTACATTGTTAAAACATTATAGCAAACTAGCAAACTAGAACCTGAAGATCTCAACTAAGACCTTGCTTTCAACAACTATTTCTAAAACAGATGAATTTTGATGGAGTCTGAGATCCTTTCAATCTACATAGAGCCAGGTGCAGCAACACAGGAGTAAATGATCTGCAGATGGCAACTGGGAGCAGGCTTGGGTACATGTACAAAACTAACCAAATTTCCTCTCTATACTTATCTTTGTAATAATCAATGCAAAAATTTGCCAAATATGCAAAATGGAAAGTCACATGATTATACTAAGAGCTCTGGCAAACACATGCAGTTGTGAAGTTCTTAAAGATTCACTTACTAGAAACTGGATCACATGAAGCCTTGAGACTTCACTTTATAGTAATCTTTCAAGCATCTCTTCAAACCACTAAAAAAACGTGAAGAAATGCAGGAATAGCTGAAGTGGCTCGAAGTAACAATAGCTACTGATTCAGAACAATAAGTGAAACCAGGCACCAGGACCAAAAAAATACTGGGTATCACTGTTCAGTGCTTTTGAGGTAGAATGTAACAAGAAAGTAAAGAGGAAAATGCTTGGCTGACAAAGAGTGGACAGGATCCTGAAGGCAGAGGGGAGAAAAAACTTCCCATGATCTTCAATTATCATTGTGGTAGAATAAAAACATATTTCAAAGGACACATTATGTAGGTGACACACTACAATTTGAAAAAAAAAACAACTTTGTGATTACAGAACACAGAGTTTTATTATCAGCCATCGAAGAGGAAAGAAAGTCTGCACAGTCATTACTACACCTGTTGGATTTATCACGGCATGACTTCGCTCTCTAGTAGTGGTGGACATTAAGAAAAAAGAAGGCTTAGTACAGATCTAAACCCACTTATTAGTTACTTGAGGAAGGCAGTATTTATTACATGTGACGAGATATCCTGTGTTACTTACCCAGCGCAAAAGTACTCATTCTTGGTGATGGGTTTCGAAATAAAAAGAAATTTTTGTACCTTCTCTGTTTCCCCTGTAAAATTCACCCTTTGCTTCTCTGGCTGTGGGACTATTTGGGGAACAGCAGGTTCCCCAGGAATCTGACTTCAATGCAGGAAGGATTTTCAGTAAAAACATCCTTCTCCCATTTTTGTTGTGTTGTTAAATAATGACAGAAATGGCAGTTCATAACCTATGTCTCTGAATTCAGCACAGCACTAGCAGAGGTTAAAGAATAAACAAACTGATGGACTGACCATCCAGCAAAACACAATTAAGTTATTACAGTGTTTTCACTATCACTGTTGGTTTTTCTTTTAAGTTCAATTAAATAAAATGGCACACAGGCAGAGATTTTGGAAATGTGAATTTTATTGAGATTTATTTCATAGAAAATTTAAATACAAGAGATTAAATGGAAAGTCTTGTCAAGTGAGACCCTGCGAAACTAAGTTCCAATCACTGAGCAACGTCTGATGGAATTGCTAATTAGATCACATGTTTCTCCTTAGCTGTAGAACAAGGAATCACACCAATGATTTCACTTTTCATCTGCAGAACAAGTTTTCAACCCCTTTTGTAACTGGTTAGTACAGTATAAGGTACAAATTCTACTGATGCTGAACAGAAACATTTATGTATTTATAAGCTAATATATGCCTAGGGAAAAAAAGCCTCCAACTTTTATTTTTCCAGTATTTATCATTCATTGAAAACCAGATGGTAGGAGGTAAGCCAGGTTATCTCAGACTTCTTGTGATGGGTTCAGTGGCAGAGACCCAAACAGCCTCGTATGCAGCAGAGTACCTATCCCACTGGCAGCCAGTTTTTTCCACTTAACTCCTTTTTTTCTGCTTGGAGCCAATCCAGCCCAGTTCAGCTCTTTTGTAGGAACTGAGGAACCAGTATTGATTTCCCATTTAAGCCAATCTTGTGTAAGCCCACCACTGCCTCCCTCGCTATGAATACGGGAAGCACTGGAGGAAACCAGCTGCAGCATTTTCCACACGCAGAATTGCTTCTTCGGGCTGGATGTGAGCTGAGTTCCAAATTAGAAAAATAAAAAGCGAAAATGGCAGCATAGATAGGCTTTCTTTTCAAGTCTGATACACATTCAGCACTGCCTTCCTAGAAAGGATTCTCAGAAAACAGGGAATTTGCCTGTTAGAGCAAAAAAAGGAGATTCTTATAGGCTTCAGTGAAGTTGTCAGCCAAGATAACAAATCCTTGTACCAAAGTGGCCTTAGAACAGTGAGGCAATGAGGGCTTTTCTAAAAAAAATATCAAAATTGTGCACTGTGCTTTTTTATGAATGTGTGAAAATCTGTTGTTACTGTCTATACTGAGTGTTTATGGATTTAAGCTGAAGACTGCGGTGATGTTTGAGGATTCTCAGGCTCTGTGCCATGAAAGTTTTGTTACCAGATTCAGAGTTTTCAACAGGCGTCCATTGCAATCAAGGGTAAAAAATACCTCTAGCACAGACATTTTTAGGGACTAGCAGTGAAGTCATGCTTTAAAAGATAAATAACGCTAATAACATTGATACAAACTTTCCAAAGTCACTTAGCAATAAGCTCCAGAAATCTAGAATGCAGTTGCTGAAAATTGGAACACAGTTTGGTAAAAAATTGGCAGTACTTCCTGAAGTATAACATAGAAATTAAACAAAATTTTGAATTGTGGGTGGGAAGTCATAGAGATAGTATTTGACTCCTACATGAAATTACCAAGCTAGGCTAAATATCATGCTTTTTCAGGTCTCACTTCAAAATGGCTTAGCAGCTCTTTGACCTAATTCACTCTCTCTGTTCTTAGCTGTTCACAGTCTCTAAAATGGAAATCTATATCTGGAATTTGTCAGGGACAAATTGTTGGAAGCTCTTACATGGAAACAGGATACCTTCTTCTTCCTGTGGCATGTCTCTGTAAAACACTTTAGAGTAACCATCCCCAGACACTGGAGAGTTCAGGCACTACTTGTTCTGATTTTCATTGAGAAACAAGCCACCAACCTCAGGTCATGACTGTTCTTGTCCCATGTAAACACCATCAGTACAGTGAGATTAGTCCACTGTGATTAATACAGACTGAAAGAGCAATCTGCAGCAGCCTGATGGATGGAGCAATTTCAAATAGTATCACGTGGATGTAGGAAACCAGAAACAACTGCAGCCTCCCGACCCAGCCTTTCAGGTTGTGTGCAGCCTAATGAACAAAGGTATGAGCTGCTTCTACACAAAGAATTTGACTAATGGGGAGAAAAGACAAGTTTTATTTTTGTTTTATTTTTCTGTACAGAAAGCAATTGGCAAAATGGAGTCCATTAGGATAATATGAAGCTTAGCCGTCAGCAACTGTATTTTTTGGTTAAATGTTCTTTGTCAGAGAACCTTATGCAAGAAGATTTCCCAAGAGAAAGAAACTGAGAGTTAGGTGGATTATTTTCACGTAGTGGAATCAATAACCTGAGTTTCCTTGGTGAGTGGTCAGAATAGCCACATATTTGTAATTCTCAATTCTCAGGTATCTGCACCAGGGAATAATTAGCAGCCTAAGCTGCTGGTTTGATTGATGAGGCTGCTGAGTGATTATTTCTCCAATTTTCCTCAACTTCAATTCTCATAGACTAGAGTCAGTGAAAAGAGAAGTTCATTTTAGGCTCCTCAATACTGATATTCAGATTCTTTCTGTATTTATTAATATATTTTATCTGCATTTTCAAAGAGTGAACCTGGAGGCACTACTGAGAAGGTAAAAGACTTTCAGGGATTTTTGTGGGAGTTTACTGAATTTGTGGCATCTGGTAGACTTTAGGAAGAATGACAGAACAGATTCTGCCTAGCAGAAGAAGTCTGAGCAGGAGGCAGTAGTAATATTTGGAGAGAGTGAGAAAGCTGTGGAAGGCGAGATGAACATCAAAGCTTTATTTGAGATGTAGTGCCCAGTGAGAGAGAGGAATAGGAACAAATGTCAACAGGAACAAACCAACCTTTTGCTTTTTAATGTAGTCATAAAAAACTTATGTGCGAGTAAGGAATATTTTAAACACTGCCTCAGATACAAAATGTCATTCACATCTAGTGGAAAAAAAAAAAAAAGACTGGTGCCTGGGGCTATGCTAATTCTTTAATGTGATGGCATTCCTGTTCAGAGAGCTCTGTAAGCTTTCCAGGCTGCCAAGCATGCTTGGCACCCATGTCTTCAAGCACTGTTCCTGCAAGGTTCCTGAGTACATTTTCATTTTAATGGGTTCTTAAGTCAAGCATCTCTGGCAAAGCTTCTGAAAAATGAGTGAGAGCTCATGCAAGGGACAATGACATTCTTTAATATTTACTGCACTAAAAATAACTTTTGAAAACAATACATGGTATACAGAATGTTCTTCTTGTTCAAAAATGTCTGGTTTTAACAGCATTTGATGGATTCAGAGGGCTCTTGGTAAGTACAGTTAATATATTTTCTCTATATATTCCTTCAGTATTAAAGAGCAAATTGCTTAATATGTAATTTGAGTAAATGTTTCCCCAGTTACATTCAGTCTCTCTTTCTGATATGCTTTATTCCTGCCTGAGTATTTTTCTCCTTTTAATATTCTCAGCAGGCTGGATTTATGAGCCTATGAACGCAAAGAATAGGAAACATCTTCTTCTGAAGCCAGCTGCACTGGTGAACTTATTGAATAGCTGACCGAGTCCTGAATGATAATCATAAAAAGAGAAGAGCAAGAGGAACAAAATGAGACAAAATCACCTTCATTTTCCAAAAAACTTGGAAAGTACCGGCACTGCACAGAAAGAGAGAGAAAAAGAAAATTAGGGAAAGTGAACCCACAGTTTGTTTCATTTTTCATTCTAACATCATTTCAACCACAAAGAATGACAGTATAAATGATCAAACAACTGTTTGCTAATGCATTATAGATAGTCATACACAATATGGCAGCTTTATACTTGTATATTTACCCACCATGAATACAAAATATACTAAGAGTGACAGGTAATGTAGCCAAAGCTTCTACTCTCTGTAAGCATCTGTGTACTATGAATTATAAATGAGAGTCTTGTGTCCAAAGGTAGCAAGTAATGTAGATAATGCCATCTGAGTAAATGAATAAATGTGAAACAGATGCTTTTTGCATTCAGGGCACACAGGTACAGCCAGGAAGCCACCAGTACAGATTATGGATGCTGGTGAGACAGCTGTCGTCTGCATCCAGTGCCAGGTGCATTCCTACCTGGGCTGCGCTAAGTCGGTAAAAAAGGCCTTCTCTTAGTCCTTTTTAACAAGTTTCCAGAAGGATAAGGTATCTTCTTACGTACATTCCTCAGGTGCTTGGATTTCCTCAACGCTTTCCTAAAAAATCAAATTGGCAACATTACTAGGAGAGTCCTTTATAAGAGGTGGTGAAGTTACCTGAATGGAACATTTAGCTTAAAACAGTCATAAAATACTTTATCTTTGCTTTTTATGCAAGTGTTCAGGTTTGACATTATTTTTTTTCTGAACAAATATTTTGACATTTTTTTTCTGAGCAAATATTTTTGCCTCAAGATGAAATTACATGGCTTAAAAAATTACTACTAGAAAGGCATTAAGAACTATTAAGAACTCTTTTTTTTTTTTTCTTTTTCACAGTGAATTTACTTATAAGCAAAGAGACAGGAGCTTGGGCTCTGGTTAGGGAACTGGAGGGTTCTTGTTGTCAGTACAGACAGCTCCCTTGATACCTAAAAGGTAGGTTGAACTCCCCAGATAAAATATTAAACTTAACAGTGCTGACAGATAGTTTTTACTTGTGAGATACAGCTACAGCTATTCTTTAAAGTTCAAATAAGTTCATAATGCAGCCTGGGTTTATATTGCTCTTGCAGCTGTTCCTTTTCTGCCTAATGCTGGAGTTGTGCTGTGTCCATTTCCATATATGCAGAAGAAAAACTTTGTCCTTTTCAGGTTCAAAAAGGAAGGAAAAAAGGGCTTCAGACCCACTTTCCTTCAGATTTGTCATTCATGAGTTAGTTATGTCATGTAGGATGGGTAAAACATTAGTTACCAAGTATGGAATTAAAGTCTATACATAGTAATGCAATTTTAAGAAGAAAATGAGCAAATGCACTAATAAAAATGGCTTTTTCTTGTTTAGTAGGAGTACCTTGAGCTATACAAAACTCTCAAAAGGAAAAAGTTCCAGGACCAATAAATAGCTGTACATATTCTACAATGTCATTTCACCACCCCTTGCATAACTGAGCATTTCAGAGATAGAAAGTACAATCAGAGATTTATGTAAAGTTTTAGAAAAGCCTAATAGATAACATAGAGCTTCTCAGAACTTACTGAGATGGTATTTGAACCCTTAAGAGTATTTATCCAAAGCTACCAAAGCAGTCATTGCAATAATTTCATAGCATTCCCTTACAAGTAAGGTTTTTTCTTCCATGCCAAATATCCCAAGCTCTTTAAGCTTTTTGGCATAAGTCTGGTCAGTCAAGGGGGCTGCCTACCATTGCCAGATTTTTATTTCATTTTGAGGTCAATCCAGAGTATGATATCCTAAGAGAAATTCTGCATTTACACAGTTTTCATAGAGAATTGAGCTTTGTAGCCCAAAAGCAAAGGGTGAAATCAGAATAATTCAGATTCCACTATCTACTATCCTTGTTTTTTTCTTTGTTTCATTTGCATCTGTGCAAAATCGACATAAAACACCATCATTGTTCCAATTTGACACTTCTATATCCCATTTTCTCACTCTGTTTGCAGAAGTGGAAATTACAATACACCTCGTAAAACAGATGCAATCCAACCGGGACAAGCAAGCCATTCACTGTCTATTAAATGACTTATTACTGCCATTGTGATATCCCAATATTTTTAACCTTGTAAATAAAGCAACTCCTTGCGAGTTACTGGTTTTGACGTAAAAAGCAAGGAAAAGTCAAACTATGCAACTTTGAAAGCCATAATTTTGCTTTCCAAACAGCATGATTTTATTTAGAATTATTGAATTTTAACCACAGAAATGTCAATAATCCACAGGTGGCTTGTTCCTATTTTCTCCATGTCCTTTCCTTTCTTGCAGTAAGTTGCCCTTGCATTTATTTCAGTGTAAAAGTTTGAGGAAAAAGAAAAAGAGACTGTCTAGGTTTTTAAAAAGTTTGAGAAGTAATTTGCAAAGTGATAGTTTCTGGTAATGAAGGCTGCTACCTTTGCCCAGGTCTGACAGTATGATAAAATTGTTTTGGAATGTTAATTACTGAATAATCAGATTCCCTTGAAAATGAAACCTCAACTTTTACTGAAATATGATATTCCTAAATTATATCAGAGCTGTAGTACAGTCAAATCAACAATTACACTAAAAGAACTCATGCAGTCTTCTATTTAGGATGAGACTCTATTATCTCAAAAGAATTAGAAAGGCATCTATGATGCACAACCAATATGGAAACACTTATCCCATTGGCCTCTATTATCCAACTGGAAATGAGAAAACTTCCATTACATTTTGCAGTGATCCACGCCTTTCCGTTTTAAAGTCAATAAACTCCATCTTTTGCTGTAGTAGCTTCAGCATGTGTGCAAAAATGACCCTTTGCAATTTGGCTGCTGAGACACATGGTGGGAGAGGTGACATAGGAGTTTTAAAAAAAGATGCAAAGCAGTTTTTACTGCCAGGCTTGTCCTACCATGGAGTAATAAAATGATACTTGCAAAGCCTCACGTAAAATTCTATTGTTCTTTGTATCACAAGACAGAATTCCCTTCCTAAATCGGTCACCCTAATCAGTTTAATGAGGCTGATGCTCAAACCACACAAAAATATTATGAAGAGAAAGTCCCTCAAGTGGCTCTTGACCTCTGTGGAAGCGCGGTCCCCTCTGTCACATCCTATGACAACGTACAGCCTGTTGAAAAGATGCCTTGAAATAAACACAACATCACAGGGATTTACAGAGGAGAGGGCATCAGGGGGGCACTCAGCGCTCGCTTCTCTTCAGAAAAAAAAAAAAAAAGAAAAAAAAAAGACTTCAGAAAAAGTACTTTGGAACTGGTAAAATAATCTTCTAAATAAACCACCAGTGGGGAATACCCACAGTCGCTGAGGACAGCATGCTGTTCAGCGTATCAACAAAAATACATTTGGCCTGAGGCAATGCTCAGGGCAAACATATCCCAGATGGACTAGAGAGGCCCAAATACCTTCAGAGATGAAAATTTAATTAGAGGAAATGTCACTGCAGTGAACAAAAGGATTGCTTTAGTGATTTTTCATCATTGTTTACTACAAGCGAAGTATAGTTTTAAGTGTTAGGACAGGCTAAGTACAGGAGTGTTCTTAAGCACTGGAATGGATATGAAAGGAATGGATGTTGAAGGTCAGAGACAATCATCCGCACTTGAGGAGTGATCAAAAGGAGTAAACCATCAAATATTGACAGATGGCAATTTTTAATTGCTTCAGTGATGTCAAAAGGTGACAAAAGGTGTCAAAGGTGGTGCTTTCAAGCCACTAAGAAGGAAAAAACTGCCCTTATGTGGTTGGTCAGGTTAGAGTTTTTGTTGCTTTGTTGTTGTTATTAGTGCTGTTGTGAGATCCCAAGGATGATAAAAAGCTTAGGTTTTTCTGAAAGCATAAAGCCATCCCTGAAAGCTGAGATGCCTCACTGCCTCTTTACCTCTTTGATAATCCATTGTATATTATCAATTCTGATTCTTGCACAAGTCAGGGGTGAAATTGTTGGAAAAGCAATATAGGAATTGTTGCAGCACAATTATAAGGAATCAGTCCCTTAAATGAAAATATGTGACTTTTTGCATGAGTTCTGAAGGCTGTTTGGGATAAACTAAAAGAAAATAAGACATCGTAAACATTGTAGAAAGTCTTTCAAACTATAGCATGTTTTCCATTTGGATTTTACATCTTCAGAATGCAGAGTTGAGAATTTCCAGTCTTTTTTCCCATCCAGCCTTCATTTTGTATTTTCTGCTGAAATGCTCCCCCCCAGCAAAACAAAATAATCACCTTAATTGAAAGGATGCACATAATTATTTTCCCATGATAATATCAAAATAGTGCTAATATAGCACTCTTTATTAGTATGTAACAGGAATTACATACTATTATATGAGGCAAAAATAACTACAGAAATAGTAATTATTATCAAATATCTCTCACAGAGGCCATACCAATTTCAGTTGATTAATCTCCTTAAGAAGATCAAGGAGATCTCTACAAACAGACAACTGGAGAGGAGATTTATTAAAATGGGCCACAATCTAAGTAAAAAAATGAAGAAAGCATTATACAAGTATAATTATATACAATTATGTACAGATCAGTATATTTATTTGGTTAATAAAGTCAATAAAGTAGCTTGATAAAGTTAATAAGACTTAATTTTATATTAGATCTTTGCTATTATTTATATTTTTGGTCTTTGCTAGATCCCTTGAATTTTACTGATGCTGTTGAGAGTTTGTTCTTCTTAGATACAACTATACATAGATAGATTCTTTCTGTGTAGAAGGTACTAGGGAACATGAAGTCTCCTGAAATTACTGGGGAAACTTGACACCGACTTTAGCAGAGTTTGGATCAAGCATCTAGAGTACCTTATTCACTTACTAAGTTTACTGGGTAACATGTGCCCTAATTTCAGGTGATTGATTTGGGTGTCTCCTGGTGCTATTGTTTATTATCACCTGTTACCCACACTTTTGTATTCTAGCCCAAATAATCTCCCTAGATTTCTCCTGACTGGAGGCACTATGCTTTTGCTGGCAGTCAGAACTGGCTTTGTGTTCGCTTACATTGTCTTGTTAGTCCTTTCCCTTTTCCTCACCTGCTTCCTTGTTTTAATTTTTCTTTCTTTCTTTTTAGCAGGTACAGTTCTACACAAAGTTTAATCATATGTGCAGAAATTTGTTAGATTGATGCCAAAGGGCCTGCCCAAAGGCAGGCTCTTAACACATTATTTGAAACCTGTGATGGAGAGTCCAACCAGCCTCTGATTAGGCAACGTGCCATACTAAGCAGATATTAATGAATCTTGGCAACCAAATATGAGAAATCAGTTTGCTTGCCATCTTTTCTCTGTTACAGATGGTTATCTGGAAAACCATCCAAACAACAGAAATATACCATATGTAAAACAAAGCCTCTCTTTTTATTTTCAGGTTCACAGACTCTCATCTTAAGATTTCACAGTATTTATTATTTTTATACTTCAAGATGACTAAATACATTATTATCTAAATGTATCCAAATTATGACACTCTGAAGAAAACAATACTGTGCTTTATGGGGGTGTGACTGTATTATTGATGCTACGGACTTCTGGGTGATCAGCACC